TCATCTTTGTTGATAAATGATGTAATCGTTATTACAGAAAAAATAAAAATAAAAAACCTACAGAGTTTGGGCTCTGTGGTCCAGTGAGGTACCCATTGTCCTGATGACATTTTATTTTGCTGGGGACACAGGTAGTTTACCGCAGTGTCTGGAGTCATTCTGTAATTATCAGGGATTCCATTTAGTTTTCTCATCTGTAACACTCACAAAGAGAAGCCCTCCAGGTCATCTGAGTCAAGAAATAGTCCCTTTACCAACCACCCCTGGGCAGCCCTATATTTTTTTCTTCTCTGCTCAAAAACAAACAAACAAACAAACAAAAAACATGAATTGATCCCTTTGGGGGTCTCCCACTGTAAGAGAATGATAGTGCTGAGGTTTGTAAAGCAGATAAGAAAATACTGTTTTTATTAACAGTATGGGCTTTTCAAAGAAGCCCAAATCAATTTCAAATCTGCTATAAACCTTGTGATATTAATTCCCTAAACACCCTTATGAAAAAAAATCAGTAAATATAATGAATTCCCAATATGCAATATAACTAGGGAGTAAAATCATAGTGCATAAAATAACATCCCCAAATGAACTATAAAATCTTAACTTCTTGAGGAAAGTAATGCATATGAGTCTGAAACATGAAAATGAAGTTTCGAAGCCAAGTGTGTCCTGATTGCGTAATCTAGAAGAACTCCAAACTTGTAAGAAAAAGACTGACGCATGCATTGCGCGTGTTGTTTTTAAGATGGTTTCATTTATTCATTGGAGACAGAGCGAGCGATACAGAGAGAGAGAGAAAGAGAGAGAGACGAAGAGCACGAGCAGCAGGGACCGAGGGAGAAGCAGGTGCCCCACTGAGCGGGGAGCCCCATGCGGGGCTCGATCCCAGGACCCAAGACCGTGGCCTGAACCGCCCGCACACGGCTCGTCCTGAACAACATATGTCTAACCCTTGAGTCTTGTTCAGGCCTGGCTGCGGGCCCAACGGTGTGGCTCAGAAGGAGGACGTACCCGACATTTTACAGCTTGGAAATGACTTTCCTCTGTGTTACTGGGCTTGATGGTGGGACTGGATGCTCGTCTGCTGCCCACCTACCTACCCCGGGGATCTTTTTTTTTTTTTAATTATTTTTTTTATTTATTTATGATAGTCACAGCGAGAGAGAGAGAGAGAGAGGCAGAGACACAGGCAGAGGGAGAAGCAGGCTCCATGCACCAGGAGCCTGACGTGGGATTCGATCCAGGGTCTACAGGATCACGCCCTGGGCCAAAGGCAGGCGCCAAACCGCTGTGCCACCCAGGGATCCCTACCCCGGGGATCTTGACCATGTCCCTTTATCTCCGTGTTGCTCGGTGGCCCCAAGGGTAACGTGGGGGTGGTTATGACGTTCATCTTGTGGGGTTATGGGGAGGATGGAACCTATCATTGGGCACGGCTCCCCCTGGCTGGGCCCCCCGACTGTGGTGGTTGGGTGGCCCCCCCAATGCACGAGGCAGGGCGCATCTGCCAACGGAGGGGGGCTCCAGGGCCTGAGCTCGAGCACTGGGATACCAGGCAGGCAGGCCTGTAGGCAAGGCCACCCGGATGAGCAGAACTCCTGGCAGCAGTGTAGACAAGACCCGCCCATGTGGGGCATAGGCCAGTGACCCAAGTGCCCCGGGGAACAGGTGGGCCGCCCTGCTTGTGCCAAGAGCCACAGTGGAGCGGAGAAAACAGAGGCCAGGAGGGGAGGTGACAGCTTCCCAGGGGAACCAGCCTTGGGCGGGTGCTGGAGACAAGCAGGGTGCATCTCGGGGACGGAGGGGGCCCAGGCACCCTGAAGGCACCGTGCCCGGGGCCCAGGGCCTGGGCAGAGCTGGGGCCTACCTGGGTCCAAACAGGGCACGACCTGCTCTGCGGGACACACGTGAACGTGAGAGCAAGGCCCTGAAGCTGCCTCACCGAGTGAAGCACCGAGTGAAGTGTGTCGGGTGGGGGTGGGTGGGGGTGAACAGGAGTCTGGGAGACCTAGGGTGGCCCACTGCCACCGCCGGCTCCCCTTCCCGCTGGCCGGCGCCCCCGGGTTAGCGCCCCACCCAAGTGCCCTCTGTGGGTCTCTCTCCATCTCGCTTTAACTTACACACACGAGCATCAAGCTCCGCGTGCTTGTGGGCGGTGGGGCTAGAACAACAAGGGTAGACAAGGAAGGAGAAGAAGAAAAAGCCTGGGTGCCGGATGGGGTCTGGAGAGGCAGGCGAGGGAGGCCAGGGCCGCGGCAGGGGGGCAAGAGGAAGACAGGAGGCGGGAGAGCGCGGAGGCCCCGCGGGGAAGGTCGGGGAGCCTCCTGCGGGGTCAGGCCTCGGCGGGGAGGCCGGAGACCTGCAGAAGGCACGAGCTCTGTCCACGTGAGGCCTGCACCCGCTCCGGGACATGACACGGCTGACTTACCGCACAACGTGGATGGACCTGGAGGGTATTATGCTGAGTGAAGTAAGTCAATCGGAGAAGGACAAACAGTGTATGTTCTCATTCATTTGGGGAATATGAATAATAGTGAAGGGGAATATAAGGGAAGGGAGAAGAAATGTGTGGGAGATATCAGAAAGGGAGACAGAACATAAAGACTCCTAACTCTGGGAAATGAACTAGGGGTGGTGGAGGGGGAGGAGGGCGGGGGGTGGGGGTGAATGGGTGACGGGCACGGAGGGGGACACTTGACGGGATGGGCACTGGGTGTTATTCTGTATGTTGGTAAATTGAACACCAATAAAAATTAATTTATAAAAAAAAATAAATGATATCCAAGGAATGAACACAATCTCAAGGGTTAGCAACCCTTATAACCTGAATTCTCTATTTGGTTAGGAATTTAACATCCCGAATATTCCCCACTATGGTTAAAACCACTGCTGCGATATTAGGTTTCTTGTATCTTTAACTGAGGTATTGTTTTGACCAAATACAGTATAATTTGTCAGGAAAATAATCAGGATTTTGATGCTTTGTTATCAACTTAATTTTAATCAAGTGGTTGACTCAGTGGGGTCCTAAATAACTCCTGGGGAAAATACTGAAGAATTCCACTTAACTGGGATAAACACACAATGACACGTCTCAAGGCAGGCGGAACCAAGAACGTATCTAAAATGAATTAAAAGATACTCTAAAATACAGTAAAGTTTCCACGGAAGGAAGAAACCGGAGATGCTAACTCTTCCTCCGTGCACAACTAGGGTGACCTTCTGGAAGTAGGCAGCTAAGGGCCTCGCGGGAAGGCTGGGGGTGGAGGCTCGCACACGTGTGCAGAGCCTGGCCGGGCCCGTGCACGGACGTGGAGTGTGCATCTCCACGAGCAGACCACTTCGGGGAGCCAGAGGTGCTAGCCCCGAATCACAGTGCCCGTCAGGAGGTCATGAAAGGGTTTCTGCTCCGGCGCCGCTTCACCCCCCGGATCAATTGTCTCCCCAAACCATGTTATTTCGGACAGAACAGAGGTTGATTCCAAAGCCCCGGTAGGATCTATGATGGGTCCCACGGGGATTTCCTGCTGATGGCAGGTCAGTAGCACCATTCTTTTTCCCCAAGTAGGTTGAGAAATCTGGACTTTCACGTGTCTTGCACCATTTTACCTGTCACCACACCATTGCAGTGACATTGGGAAAGTCGGGAACATTTTCTCCCTTTTCTGGTAAAGCCAGACACTATGAATAGCTGGCCCCTTGTCTCATCTGTGGGTGCTGTGGGATACAGATTCCCAGTTAAGATGTCCAGAAATAGGGAACACAGTCAACACTCCTAGAACTACCCATAGCGCTTATCAAGTCAGGCAGGACTAAAATAGTTAAGAGTTTATCATCAAGGCCACAAGCCAAACACTGTAAATTCAGACTGAATTTCAATGACATGAAAAAATTCCATGAAAATATGACATTTCATCAGGGTTTTATTTTGTCTACCTGTGCACCAAAGAATTACATAAATATATATATGTATATATATAATTATACATATATAATTTTTAAAATATATATATATATTTTAAATTATAAAATTTTTAAAGTATAAAAATTTTAAAGCATAAAAATTTTAAAGTTATAAAAATCCATATAATTTTTCTATATATAAATATATATAATTATATATAAATTATAAAATTATATATATTAAATATAAAATATATATTATATATTACATACTAATATTATATATACTATATATTATATATTACATATTATATACTATATATTATAAAATTATATATAATTATATATATAGAATATATATTTAAGGTATTTGAGGTATTTATATGATACACACACACATAAAGCCACATGCCTGATTGATTTTTAAATGATATCCAAGGAATGAACACAATCTCAAGGGTTAGCAACCCTTATAACCTGAATTCTCTATTTGGTTAGGAATTTAACATCCCGAATATTCCCCACTATGGTTAAAACCACTGCTGCGATATTAGGTTTCTTGTATCTTTAACTGAGGTATTGTTTTGACCAAATACAGTATAATTTGTCAGGAAAATAATCAGGATTTTGATGCTTTGTTATCAACTTAATTTTAATCAAGTGGTTGACTCAGTGGGGTCCTAAATAACTCCTGGGGAAAATACTGAAGAATTCCACTTAACTGGGATAAACACACAATGACACGTCTCAAGGCAGGCGGAACCAAGAACTTATCTAAAATGAATCAAAAGATGCTCTAAAATACAGTAAAGTTTCCACGGAAGGAAGAAACCGGAGACACTAACTCTTCCTCCGTGCAACCCTGGAGGGGTTTTGAAGATTAGAGACGCAGATTCAGTCTCTCGTTTGCTGCTGACTTGAGCGTTACTTTTCTGATGGTTTGTCTTTGTGGGATCCACACCGGAACGCGTTCCCACTCCTGTGAATGAATTCCTGTCCCCCGTCTCTCTGGACCTCATAAGAGTTGACATGAGGACCATGCCTCCCACACGACTTAAATGATGCAACTACAAGCATCTGCTATCTGGAGTTCGGTGTCGGTGCTCACTTCGGTAGGACACGTCCTGAAACCGGGACGGGACAGAGAAGCTTTGCATGGTTTCTGTGCAAGGATGACACGCACATTCTGGGAAGAGGTTCATGTTTTGATCAAATACGTTTCAATAAAAAATAAATACCTAAAAGCACTTATGCAATAGAATTTTAAAAATTGATTATAAAGCTTTAAAATGTGTGACTTTAATGTCAGTATTTTATTTTATTTTTTTAAGATTTTATTTATTTATTCATGAGACACACACACACACACACACAGAGAGAGAGAGAGAGAGAGAGAGAAAGAGAGAGAAGCAGAGACCCAGGCAGAGGGAGAAGCAGGCTCCATGCAGGGAGCCGGTTGTGGGACTCGATCTCAGGGCCCCAGGGTCACACCCTGGGCTGAAGGCGGCGCTGAACCGCTGAGCCCCCCGGGCTGCCCAATGTCAGTGTTTTAATTCAAAATATCATTTGATAAAGATAAAATCACTAGTTTGTCCCTATTAACCTATGTGTGATCAGAGCGCCCACTGTGTGTATGCGTCCGGTGAGCAGCTCTCGGGGGCACCTGACCAGCTAAGTCGGCAGAGCATGAAACTCTTGACCTCAGGGTTGTGAGTGTGAGCCACAGGCCACTTGAAAAGCATAAGTAATGCTGCTGGGAATTGGCTGTTCTTGAACGCCCGCTACATTGCACACGCTTTCCTAGGGGTAGAAAATACGGAAATAAAAGTGAACCATGCAATTGTTGGAGCTCAAACGGTAGCGAACAGACGAACATCACCCGGTCCTCAGCGTGCATGGACCATTTCCTATGTTTGTTCTAGAAATAACCCCCGAGCGGTGGCCCTGAGCTCGGCAGCCCCGCAGCCGTCGGGGGAGAGAGCTGCTCGGTGGCTCAGGGGGTAGGGGGGTTGCTGTGCGCCCGCCAGGTGTCGGCGCCACCGCAGGGCAGAGGCCGAGTGACAACATCGGCGCTGGTTGTGCTGTGACGTGGGTCGATGCCTCAGGGACATCGTGGTGGATGATGTGGGCGCTGCCGGGACAGCAAAGCAGGGCTAAGAGGAGAGGGCAGGGTGCGGGATGCCGTGTTGGGCCGGGGGTCACGGGGTGCATACTGGGGTGGGCCCGGGCAGAGAGGGGAGGAGGATTGGGGTGCAGGGGGCAGACGGACGCCTGTCCTTGGTGGGCTGCCCTGAGATCCAGGCCTTCGGCTCAGGGTAGGGAGGGGAGACGGTTTGCAGGCCAAGGCCAAACCCTCACTGAGCTTTAGGGGATCAGGGTTGTTAGTACAAAGGGAAGGGAGAGCTCCGGGAGAGTTGCCTCAGGAGCAAGCGGCCTCTGCAGCCCTGGAAGCAGGAATCCCAGGGCCGGTTGCAGATTGCACGGCCCGGCCCAGCCTGCTCTGGGGGTTACAAACCCTAACCACACAGTAAACCGAGTCACCCACCCTCTCCATGCAGCTCTCTCAGAGGCGGGATACATGCACGTGGAGACACGAACAATAATTAGACCAGCGACGCCTCTCACGGCAGGTGTTTCCTTCAGCTGAATCCATCCCTTTGCAGTTGGCCCTGGCCTCTCCTCAAAGACTAAGGACTGAGCCCACCACAGGTGTCTGTGCTCTGTAGGGGCCAATTGCTCGCTATCCCTCGACGTCAGCGTGATTAGGGAAACAGATATGAGTGGACGAGCCAGCGCCCGGAACACAAATTAAAAAAACAAAACAAAACACTAATACTGAGGATAGCATCTTACACAATTTGGGGAAAAACTCTGCCTCCTGTGTCCCCTTCTCTCTTACTCCGCTATCACTCGCGTAACCGGGGATCTCGCTCCCAGCCAGACTTCAGAGCATCTCTCGGTGGGGAGGCCTTGGCCGACCATGGCCCTCTTTTCTTGGTTGCCAGGTGCTTCAGGTAAAAGACTGATTTGTACTTGCGGCCACTCATTCATTCGACCAACAGGGTTCCCTCAACTAAGTATTGGCTGTGACAGTCCTGAGTCCATGAAGCTCGAGCAGAGCGATTTTGAGTTTTCAGGAGGCAGACGTTTCAGTGACGCTATTCAGTGACACAGAAATGATGTCCTGGTGGAAGCGTCCTGTGCTCATTGACTTACTCATGTGTCGTATCATTCATAGAGTCAACAGGGATCACCTCAGCACCTGCTGGGGGTGAGGCCCTGCACTTAGGAATCGGGCACGAAGAGCAGGGCAAGATGCTCACTTCACCACCCACAGGGCTTCCAGGCGCCTCTCTGGCCGATTCAAAGGAAACGACACAGTCACCTGACCATCTGCAGTACAGGGCATGGGGGTGATGACCAAGGGGGACTTTCTCCTCCTCCCCAGCATGCGAGTGCATAGACGTGTGTTGGGATGTTGAAGAGCCACCCAGAGTCATCCTCTGGGACCTTGAGAGATCCTCTTGCTTGGTTATGGTTGGGCTCTGAAGAACAGCCCTGGGCTTGAGGTCAAGGACTCGCCCCACGATGTGGACGCTGCTTGATCCCCCCTGCTCGGTCGTATCTGCACGTGTGCGCCCTCCCTCGTCTCTCGTCGACCTCTCCACAGCAACCTTCCACCCGGTCCCCCTGTTCCCCCTGTTTTCCTGGAAGAGTCTACTCTCCCAGAAGCCCTGTCTACGATGTTTCTAAAACCTAAGCAAGACGAGACTGGTGCCCCCAACAGATATCCCTCAGTGAGTTACTACTCACGTCGAATGAAACCAATGACCTTTGGCCTTGTGTGACTTGCCACCCGACCCCCTAACCCTCCGTCCTTCCTCCAGGCATTACCCGGCCCGTGTTGCTCTGGGCTCCCTGACCTCCTGGCTGTCTTTGGGAGAAACCGACCACGTGTGGGCCCTCTGCCTGGAATGCCGGTCTCTTCTGGGCTCAACCCCTCTCTGTCTCCCAGACTCCACAAAGCTGGTTGGGCAGACGGGCCTTCCTCGCCTAACGTAATGCACAAAAACATCCACCACCCTTTTATATCCTACGATCCCTCTACTCCTCTTCATTACTTGGCATATTTTTTTCATGGGTTCTTAGGCCAGCAGCATAAGCTTGGTGGTAGATCCACAGATTTCAGAACTACAACAGAAATGTCAAAGGTGCCCAATGAACACTTATCGACAGAATAAATGAATGTCCACGGGAATAAACATGCTTGAAACCCTAGGGCCCCAGTTGACTCTAGGTGAAAAGGAAGCAATACTGCCCTCCCTACCCACACAGCAAACCCTCTGTGGTGCCAAGGAACTGGAGGCAGGAAAGCTTTCCGTACAATCTCAGGTGTGACAGTTAGATGTTTTATGGAGATTTTAGGCATCCTAACTGGCAGTAGTAATCAGCTTTCAAACCCCTCTTAGGATTCTGGTTTCATCAGATTGAGTAGTTTAAACTCCTTTAAAATTCTAGTTTTATGATCCTTTGTTTATAGCTAGTATTTTCCTCCAAAGCATAGTAAGATTCTGATTTATTTTTTGTTTTCATTTTGAAGCAAAAATTGACGCGTTCACGTATTTTCCCAAAATCGTATCAGGTGCTTCAATTACAAGAAATGTGTTTCAATCAGGCCAGGCCCAGTAAAATGCTGGAGGCGGCGAGGCTGTTCATTGCTGCACTGTGTGCGATCGCATTGAGTTTCTCCTCACCTCCTAGCAAACCCTCACTGATCAGGGACAACGACGTGCTGCTAAATAAATTCGGGTTAATGTGAAGATGACAGTAAGCACCACCACCATCATCATCCTCATTATCCTAATTTCCTTTGCATTTACTTCTGAAGACAGGACCTGGGAAGAGGAGTCAATTCACCCAAAGTACTGGATTTTAAACTTGATTCCAACAGAGTAAGAGCGACTGGAGGGAAGTCTGTGTTTTTAAAATATTTTTTTCAAATCCTACCATATATACAAACGTGCCAAAAAATCCCGGAATATATTTTACGTGCAGTCTCCGACATCTCAGAAGACATAGCTTACCATGTTAGATGGGCCGCCGTGACACCTGGCCGGTTTGTACAGGGAGGCTTTATTCTGACCTTGGTCATTGATAAAGCATCCCAACTTTTTTTTTTTTGTAGTGTTTTTAAAATCATAAACTTTTATTTTATGTATACTCGACAAAGTTTTCAATGTGTGTAAATGATTTATTTCTATTTTTTTTCTCATAGAGTTTATCATTCCAAGGTGTTCATGACAGTATAGTTGTAGTTCCCTTGTGCTGACAATGTTCATGAAACTAAAATAATTCAAAAGCAAAAATACAACAGGCTAACCAAACTGAAGGAAAGAAAGGAAAGTAAATATCTTTCATTCCTTCCAAAATATATTGTTCCAAAATGATTGATGTTGATGTGCTTTTAAAAGATTTTGCAAGTGTAGGGGATCTCTCGGTGGCTCAGTGGTTTAGCATCTGCCTTTGGCTCAGGGCGTGATCCTAGGTTCCTGGCATCGAGTCCCACATTGGGCTCCCTGCACGGAGCCTGCTTCTCCCTCTGCCTGTGTCTCTGCCTCTCTCTCTGTGTGTCTCATGAATAAATAAATGAAATCATAAAAAAAAAGATTTTGCAAGTGTCTACTTTTTTTCTAGATGAAAGCTTTCTCAGGGAAGAGATCTTGTAGCTGTAACTTTGTAGAAGTTAAGAGAAAAAAGGCTGGCGTGTCCATTTCGTTTTCATAAAGTTCATAATATTTAAAAAATATAAACATTAAATTAAAGGACTCTAAACCGGGAACACCTGGGTGGCTCCATGGTTGGGCATCTGCTTTCGGCCCAGGGTATGATCCCGGGATCCTGGGATCGAGCTCTTCTGGGGTTCCCTGCCAAGAGCCTGCTTCTCCCACTGCCTGTGTCTCTGCCTCTCTCTCTCTCTCTCTCTCTTCTCTCTGTGTGTCTCATAAATAAACAAAATATTTTAAAAACTAATTTAAAAAAGGACTTTAAACCATAATTCAAGAAATTGACAGATAATCCGAAGGCCTTTCTGACAGCTCTTGCCCCAAAAGACTGACCAAAACTTATCCATTTTACAAGTCACAACGTGTGTCAACATTTGGAACACGCCTTACACTCTGGTTATCACATCTCAGAAAGAGTATAATGA